CCCCACACTTCGCACCTGTTCATGTTTTAGAAAAAATCCGTCTAAAACAGCTTCTAAGTTACGGATTGATCTGATCCTCTTATCGGAAGGTCTAGAAGGAGTTGTACAAACAGCTGAATTTTTTTTCAGAAACCCTCTACCAGGACCGGACCATGCTATGTGCGCAGTCCTCCTGTCGTTCTAAAAAAAAAACAGGCCAAGGTAAAGGCTACTACAAGCTAAATACATCCCTTCTAAAGATAGAAAGATTCAAAACTTACCTCAAGGATGTTTGGAATTTCTGGCGTCAACAGAAGACCCTCATCTATGATAATATAATGTGGTTCAAAAACGGTCTAGTTTTCTTAGGCCGTAAATGTAATGAATATTCGAAGTTTTTAGCAGTGGAACGTCATTCCAATGAATCAAGACTCTACCAACGTATTCATGAGTTGCAATCACAGGAAAACAACTCAAACAATGATGAAAATGAATATCCATTGCTCAAGAAATTCAGGAATTAGAGGATCGTCTCTTATCCCTCATGGAATACCAATGGCAGGGAGCCCGGATCCGGGGAAAGCTTCGTCAGGCGGTTATTGAGGGTGGAATGGATGCAAGGTTTTTTGCTATGGCTCGAGCATGGACAGGGAGAACGGTAATTGAAGCCCTTGCACACCCTCAACGACAAAATGAACAATTAGCAACATCTACGGCGGAGTGTATCAAAATTGCAAGAGATTTTTTTAAATCCCTCTTCCTTTCAGAGACGGCAACTACCCCGGTCAATCAACGAATCAAGGACATTGACGATTTCCTTAAACCATTGAAAAAGTCGCTATCTGAGACTCAAAGAAACACGCTCGAAAGCCCGCTAACAAAAGAAGAGAAATGGACTGCCCTGATGCTCATGGAAGAAGAAAAAAACCCTGGCATTGATGGATTACCTAAGGAATTCTTGAAATCTCTCTGAGATTTTATAGCTCAAGATCTAATGGATTTCTATCAGGAAGTTTGGACTTCAGGTCGATTAGGAGAGATAGTGGGGCAAGGGGTCCTAACGCTGCTGTATAAAAAGGGGGACAAATGTAATATTCGAAATTATCGCTCTATCACCCTCCTCTCAGTCGTGTATAAACTCATCTAAAAAACCCTCAATTATTCGCCTTAATAAATATATAGCAGATATAATCCACCCCGCGCAAACAGGTTTTATCCAAGGAAGGAATATTCATGATAATATCCACCTCATTAAAGAGTTAGTCAAACTCTCTCACCAATCCAAACATAATGTTGTCTTCATCTTTATTGATTTTGAGAAAGTTTATGACCATGTGGATTAACTCTTCCTGGAGAAATGGCTAGATAAGTTTAACTTCGGCCCGAACTTCATGAGGTGTGTTAAAATCTTACATGGGGATGCATCAACGAGAGTCATGGTCAATGGAAATGTGGCTCCTCCCATAATGCTACAAAGATCAGTTAGGCAAAGTGATCCTATTGCCCCGCTCCTCTTTGTAAGCATCATAAGAGCCTTGGCAGCCCACATCTGCCATCACAAAGACATCAAGCGCATTAAAATTACATCCATACTAGAGGACGCCATACCAGTATGTTCCCTCTTTGCTGATGACCTATCTCTCATGGTTGACGCCTCACATGAAAACCTTGAGGCAATACAACGGATTACGAACGAATTTTGTAAACTATCTGACATGAGGGAAAACTGGGGAAACAAAACCCTAGGTTGGTGGATTCACTATCAAGGAGTTAGGCCACCAGAGAGACCAATGATCAAATGGTTCCCTATTGATTCCCAAGTGAGGGTTCTTGGGATTTCTCTTTCCGCCCTCGACAAACCAGCATCCAATAGTGAAGGGATTCTGAAACATGCACTCTAAAAACTTGAATTATGGAAAGATAAACATACCTCGTTGCTAAAAAGAACACTAACAATTAACAATGTTGTCCTCACATCTATGTGATATAAATCTGTTGTTTGGGCGCTTGATAAAGTATCCATCATAGTTTTGCAGAGGCAATTGGTAACATTTCTTTGGCGAGGTAATCACGAGTCCAAAAATGTTCTCAGCAGAGTGGCATGACAATCAATAATTCAACCTAAATCCATAGGTGGTTTGGGCATAATTGATTCCACCACCCAAGTGAAGACTCTTTCAATCCAATGGATAAAGCGCCTTCTTTTCAATCCCCACACACCGTGGAGTATTCTAGCTTGTGAGCAGATCAGACGCCTTGCCCCTCCCACCCTAGATGAGGTTGACCCCCTAATGTGGTTGGAGAATCGCACTTGGCCGCTCCCAAGGGCGTCCCCATCAAAGTCCCCAAACCTAGAGCTATCTGATCGTCAACCAGCTAGAGGTGACTTATCCCGGGATCCCTTCTGGATTGACTTGCTTAAAACTTGGAGAAAACTTCCCATCCCAGACAAAGTAACACCGAAAAAATGGGAAGAAGTTTATCAACAACCTTTATTCAACAATACTCTAATCAGAGATTCTCATGGTTGTACCCTAAACTGCATAGACTCTCCTTAGAAAGGTTGGATTAAAAGAGGAGTCACGCGCATTACGAATATCTGGAATAAGGAGACCCAAGATTGGATCGGCCTCCCGAACCTCAATGACTTGTTAAGATACTGCCACCACCAAAAAAAAACATTGGAACAAATAATAGATATTGTCCCTTTGGATTGGGTTAGGATCCTAAGAAAATGACCTACCCTTACTCCAAACGATTGGGTCTCCATACATGATCAGCCAGGAATGGTAGGGAAGATTAGTGAAGTGCGCTCCACTGGTGATGTGTTAATGACAGTTTATGATTTAGAGGAAGATGGATTACTCAGATCTACTCCACATCAGAGCACGGGACTAATCTAAAATGACGGATTATTCAGGATTAGAATCTTAATGATCAAGGATAGGTGGTTGGCTTTCAAACCAGACACACCCATATCTCATTTCCCACTAGATCCAGTTAGTTGATCTTGGTCATCTACGGTATACCCAGGACGTTCCCACACTCAGGGTTCTTCACACGCTGTCGGTAAAAACCACATACAGGATGTTGCGTCCTATGATAAATATAAAGGACAAAATTGAAGAGCGATGGATGAGACACCTGAATGTAAGAAAAGAGGATTTGCAGTCAGTTGAATGATTCCATTCAATCAAGTCTAAGCCGGCAAAAGTGGCATCCCTACAATGGCAGATCACTCACCGATGCTTACCAACCAATGACTGGATCATTGACAAAACGACACTTGAACAAAGAGGAATAGCCCTTCCCTGGTGCAAATTCTGCAGATCTGCCTTCACGTCCAAATTGATCTCGGAAACCATAGAACATATATTTCTACAATGCCCAGGGTCGGTTTGGCTATGGCGTTGGTGGGACAGGATTTGGAATCAGATTGAAACCTGTCTACCATGGCCATGGAGTTGGAAGGCTCTCCTCTTGGAAACCTGGACTCCATCATGTGAAGATAGCTTCACAACTAACTTATTCACGATCGGAAGAAGGGCTGTCATATGGGTCATATGGCCTCGCAGGTGTACATTTGAAATGGAAGATGCCCGGCTTGATGGGCCTGAGTTCACGGATACCATCAAGCAACAAGTCCAACTAGAGATTAACTCTAGATGGGATTCAGTTAAAGAAAAACTTAAATTCTTAACAACAGAAAAAGATATCAAACAACATATAAGAACATTCAATCAAAACTGGCTTGGAGGGGACCAAGGTGGTAAAATAGGACAGGTTAAATGGAATGGAGTGTGCGATACTGCTCACGATGAGCTCCCAAGGAAGTACCACTTACACTTCAATGACTGGAGCAACATTGATCCCTCCATCCCCCTCAGCCCTCTATCTGAATTTCCTGATCCTTTCCCTCCATCCAAGCTGGCTTTAGTCCCTTGTTCATTGTTTGTGCTTGAGTGATCAACTGTATCACAGTATTATGATGGTCTGTGGAATCCAGTCCCATCTCTTGATAAGTAATTCTGGCATGTTAGTACTGCTACGTGTAATTGCATATCTGGCGCCCGGGTAGGGTGAAGAGGCGCAACAATTTCTAGCATTCCCAGATCTGAAGGGTCGTTGGACCCACTTCTCAACATCAGCCTTGTTGACTGTTCATTATTGATGATGTAAGGGATGCTGGACCCTGTTTCCAGCAGGTGCAGCTCCCCACCAATGGAACGGAGACATCTACCCAGAAAAAAAAAAACAAAAAAAAACAAGACAACCTCATTTGGCGTAGGTGGGTGGCGGAGGAACCGACATGGGAGCGACTCCCTCGCTCTCATTTCAGGGTCCCCTACCGAGAGCGAAATTTTGTCCTGGCAACCCCCCAACACCCGCCCTCTACCTCCATCCATGACCCCCCCGTAGTCCCCCCGCCCCCCACGCCATCCTTCCCCCGTCCCTCCTGAAACCACGGCACTATCCCTCCTCTCTCTCTCTCTTTCTTTTTTTTTCTTTTTTTTTTTTTKAAAAACAACCCAAGGGAATGCTAGGGGAGCTGGTAGGAGCAGACTCCTCTAGCATGCTCGGGGAGGCTCCATCTATTGGTGGGGAGCAACACCTGCTGGAAAACGGGTCCAGCGTCCCAGAAGCATGAAAAATCCATATTTCATATAAAGCATGCCAGGTGTCCACCCTACTGTAACCATGAAAAATCAATGCACTGACACGTAAGCACACAGTATTTAGCCTAACAGCTACTTGAGCCAAACCCCATCCATCCAACCATCTGGGATGTTCTGAGTAAAGAATAACAGCGACTGAACACCCGGAAGATACAGGGATGCATGAAAGGACTGCCTGTGCAAGAGGGACTGGGGAGAAATCAAGGATTACAGGGGTTAAGGAGGGTAGACAGCAAGGGGACAGCAGGAACAAACAAAATGCAGTATAAGAGGGCAGACAGGCATGGGAAGGGGATAAGAGATAGAGTGACACAGAATAGATGGGGTTATGGCACTACTGGGGTTCAGAGGGTAGAGGGTTTATCAGATATGAGGGCATAACAGAAACCATTCACAGGCCTAACTCAGTGTGGCAACTGACAGGAAAATCTCACGAGAATAAATTGACACCGGGTGTCTAGCCTGTGAACAATGGAGTAGAAGGCTCACAAGTACGAGTAGCACAGCATCTCTGTTTCAAGGTTTCCAAAATGTATGATGGGACGCTGGACCCGCTTTCCAGCAAGTGCTGCTCCCCACTAATAGATGAAGCCATCCAAAACGGGGTCTGCTAATGGGGGATGCTCCTATCACCTCCATTAGCATGATCTGAGAAAGGGCGATGTTTAAAAAAATAAAAAATAAAAAAAAATGGAATTGAGGCTTTGCCTGGTGGGCCGCTCCATCTATTGGTGGGGAGCATCACCTGCTGGAAACCGGGTCCAGCGTCCCAATATACACCTTTTTTTTTTTGTCCCATTGTATATGAATATAGGAAGTACTCAGAATGCAAGAAATGCTAACCTATGTCAGCTCCGAATTTCAGATGTTGCTGCCAGCATTGACTACCCCAGAAGGTTGGGGGGTTAACTGAGCAGCGGATAGTAATTATGACAAGTGGTTCTGTAGGCAAGTGGGGTCCTCCCCGGGGGGCTCCAGAGAGGAACTCCATTGTAAGCATGTGTAGGTGTGGGGATGCACGATTAGGCATTTTCAGGACAGAATTTCCACTACGGAAAGGGCATGCGTTGGGAAGGGGTCTGGGAAATCGGGGGAATGGCATAGTGAGAACTCACTACGAGGGCTCTCCATATTTGTCCAGTCTTTAAAGACTAGGCAGTAATCTCTCATTTCCTCCAAATCCCGCTGTCCATCTCCCATCCCCACTCCATTCCACCTTGGCAATCCACCCTTCTCTCTCCCCTCCTACCCAGTCTGTGCAAAATGTTGTGATCACTCTCTCCTAGCATCACCAACTTGTCTAAAAAGAACTAGTTGTGATTTCGTATCCTACCATCTTTGCTGAATCTGTTCTGTAATCTCTGATCTCACCTTTTCCAGGGCCAGGGTTTTGGGTCCCTTCTCAATGAGAATCTCTTTGAAATTCTCGGTTTCCACCTCTTCTCTTTCTGAGGCGCTCAGCAATCAAGAAGGCAAGCTCCAATGACTGCGAAGCATTCAACCGAGGATCACAATGTGTGTGGTAGCGGAAGTTTAGGTCGTTCACTGTGACCTCCTTTGATCCCCCGATGCACTCAGTCACATTCTGACCTGTCATCTCCAGATGAACACCTCCAGGATGACTCCCCTCCTGTTCATGGACATCAAAAAATGCGCCCAACTCCGCTCGTATCGCATCAAATGGTCGTGTCTTCAGTCCATTGGGAGCCTTGATGGTGTTACCGTGCATGGGGTCACAAACCCAAGCAACAACTATCCCCTCTTTCCTCAGAGTCCGGATCAGTGAAGGAAACTTGTTGCGCAAGGTCTCCGCACCCATGCGAACAATCACAGTGAGGCGGCCTGGCTTGTTTGTCGGATTCAGAATCTTGCAAAGCTGCACCAGTTCTTGTGGATCCATTTTGTCACTCACCTTCACACCAAGGGGGTTGCCGACACCCCTAAGGAATTCAATATGTGCACCCTCCAGCTGACGGGTGCGCTCACCAACCCATACCATGTGAGCAGAGCAGTCATACCACCTCCCCGTTGTACTGTCTAGACGTGTCAGCGATTGCTCGTAGGGGAGCAAGAGGGCCTCATGGGAGGTGTAGAAGTCTGTTGTCTTCATGACAGGGTGGTCCCCATCTATGCCGCACGCAGCCATGAAGGCAAGGGCCTCATCCACATGCTGTGCTAACTCACGGTACCTATCTCCTTGCGCATTCTGAGTCATGAAGTCCAGATTCCACATCGAGACACGCTCCATAGCGGCATAGCCTCCAAGAGCAAATGCCCGCAAAAGATTGAGTGTTGCAGCAGACTGGTTGTAGGATTGAATCATCCTGTTCGGATCAGGAATCCGAGCTTTCTCGTCAACGACGTCAGAATTGATGTTGTCACCCCTGTAGATAGGAATCTGCTTGCCATTAACATTCTCATAAGGCACGGTGCGAGGCTTTGCAAATTGCCCTGCCATGCGTCCCACCTTGATAACCGGCATGCTGCCGCCGAACATAAGCACGACGCTCATCTGAAGCAAGACGCGAAACGTGTCCCGTATATTGTCTGCGCGGAACTCACGAAAACTCTCAGCGCAATCACCTCCCTGCAAGAGGAACGCTTTTCCCAATGCCGCCTGTGCCAGCTTCTCTTCCAAACTCCTCGCCTCTCCTGCGAACACCAGTGGCGGGAGACTTTCGAGCGCCCGCAGTGCCTCATCGAGCTGTTCTTGATCCGGGTACTCGGGCTGCTGGGCAGCCTCCTTCTCCTTCCAGCTGTCGGGCGACCAGTCGTCCGCCGGCAAGACAACGCGCTCGGACAGGGTGGTTGCCGCTTCCCCCTCGCCAGATCCAGAGGTGAGAGTCTCTGCCGCCTGCGCGCAACAAACGCCCCCTGCATGACGGCTCCTCCCCTTCTCGCCATCCCGCGCAGCACGCTGGCGCTTTCCCCTTAGCTCGCCGACGCCGCCGATGGTATGGAGTCCTGCCCACTGCCCTCTCGAGGACCCCAGACTTTGACAAGACGCTCCCCTTGCCCTGGGGTTAGACAGGACGATGGGATCTTCCTGTCTGTCGCACGATGGCTGCTGCATATTTGACTGGAGGGAGACAAACACTCCGCGCAGCGCCGCCGCCGCCTTGCATGCGGCGATCGCCATGGCTTTCCGCTTCCCCTCCTCTGCTTCACCTCGCCCTTCAGGAAGTGGGCACGAAGCTGCCGATTGGTAAAAAACAACCGGAGGTGCAGAAGAGCCGGGAGAGACAGATGGCGATGGCGCGGAGCGCAAACGGCCGCAAGAGCGATAGACAGCCGCGCCGTAACAGTTTGCAACACGGGCCGCAGGATACCTTCTTAATTTTCAGGGGGGGGCTTTTCTAATTATTATTTTAATTTTCAGGGTGCTTTTCATGGTCTTGAATAACGAAGCTCCCACATAGCCGGTATCGCCCACCTGCAGGTCGGGAGCAGCCCCCGCATGTTCTCTGCTACGGGGTTCCCCGTATGCCTACAATTAGGAGTAGCGTGGTAGGTAGGTAGTGTGAGGTGAAATTGAGAGAAAAAAAAACAAAAAAAAACGAAGTTGTCAGCAATCATAGGTAGAGTGGACAGCAAATAAACCCAACAGGGAACAAAAAAACAAAACAAAACAAAAAAAAAGGGCAAAAGAAAAGACCAAAGGAGCCTCAATAAGGTATGGGCCGAAAAGGGGGGGGTTCCTGCTGAGCCTCTTTTTGCTGTCACGGACTCCCCCCGCCCTCCAAGCTTTAGCAAAATGCCAACGTTTTTTTGGGGGTTGATACAAGCAACCCCCACGGAAGTGGTTTGCTGGTGGCAAATGCCAGCGCGGTTTAACCACTTGTGAGCATTTTTTAAGGGCTTCATGTAAATTAGTCTATAGGGTTTTCTAGGGGCCACGGCAATGTACCAGTGTATAGGTGATCTGGAGTTTGTCTGAGGATTGAAGCAAAGTCAGTCTATAGGGGTTTTGGGGGCCTACTCCGGGTACTAGCGCATTCTACATAAGAGCCACTACAATGCACCATCCCCTGATGAGAAGGAACTGGTGACTCAGCTTAAATGCATCACGCTTCTTCATCCGACAGGCTTTCTTTTGTTTCTTTATTTTTAGGAAAATCAAAGTTTGTGCACGTACAAGGTGGGTTTGAGGTTTCTTTTTTTCTTTTTTTTTTTTTTTCTTTTTTTTTTTTTTTTTTTTTTTTTTTTTTTTTTTTTTTTTTTTTTTTTTTTTTTTTTTTTTGCATTTTCACCAAAACACAAGGTCCTTTCATGCCTAAGCTTGCTTGTGAAAGAAGCTATCATGGTAGATGCCTGTTCATCACGACCTTGCCTTTCCATTTACTCCTGGACAGTTATGCCAAACTAGGTATATACATGCCCCTTGGGCATCGAGGCGGCACACAGACTCTCAGTCCTTCCCCTACATTGGGGGTGGCGGGAAGCAGTCCCGTCTCGTGACATCCCGCTGCTGGAATACAAGCCTAGCGTTGGATATAGAGCTCAAACTAGCTCCTGTGCAACATCACTGGGGGTTAGGAGTAGGTGGATAGCGGAGAGTCACGAAAGAACAGGTCAGGTGAGCGCCATCTCTTCGGTCTCACTGAGAATTTTGTGGAGAGAATTGAGGAAGGTGCCCTCAGCCAAGTTTGGTAGCCTGTGATAAGCTCAGATCCGTACCGCGCGGCTTGCCGTATCCCTGGGAAAAAATCCCGCGGAAGCCCCGAAGTATAGACGCGGATAGAAAGGGGTTTTTCTTTCTTTTTGCTTTTGTTTTCTTTTTGAAATGGCTTTTTCATTTTGTTTGGTTAATAACTCCCGCGGGCGAATAGCGGCCGCGGTATGAAAACCAAGAAACGGGTGCGGTTGGGACTTTTTGAATTTTTGCGCGCGCGCCCAAGCTCCGATTTCTTCGCGCGTCTCGCATCCCCGTTTCTTGCTTTGCATCCTCGCGCCATCTTCCCTTCTTGCTGCGCGCGTTTTCCCCATGCAGGACTCTTCGTCTTCCCCTATGCCCAGCTTGATCCTTACCCCGTCTTCCTCCGCGAAGTGATTGGCTGCGTAGTTGGGATGCTCGGATCAATGTGGAAAGCGGGAAACCGCGCACCACTTGGAGGAACACCCCAATCACGTAGCCATGCAATCCCGCGGGTCGAACCCTCTAACTCCCCACCGCTCTCTCTCCTGTCCTGCTCATCTACACCCTACGCTGCCCGCACCTCGCGCTGTTAACCCGCCGCCTCCCGCGCTATAAATTTGCGCAACCCTCTCCTCTCCTCCTCTTTGATCTCGGCTGCAATGCTGCGCGAGCTATGCACGAGAGTCCGCGGCGCCGAACAGGCTCGAYGAGCCCAAGKACGGGCGGASTGACGACGTGGGGTGGACCCCGCGGTAGYCTYGGGGCGAAGCAGTCGGAGGGACTGAGCAGTGGTGGGGATTGGACGCCGGCCGCGGCAGGGCCTTGTGGCTATGGTGGTCGGTGGTCTTGGGAAGTTTTGAAGGCTGCGCCTGGGGGCAGCAGTTAATTGAAATTTTAGTGTACAAGAAGGACTCGCTTTTATCTTCATTGCTGCTTTGTCTATGCATGTCGTGGGTGTGAAGCCCCGAGTGATGGGAGCTGGTTATGCGCATGAGTGACGTCGAAGGTCCATGGATGATTAGATGTCCTGTCAAGGGTTGTTGATTGCATGCATGTATGTGTGTATGTACTCGTCCGGGCGGGGATGGGGAAACTGAACTGGGGGACCGTCTGCTTGAGAGTATGAGTGTGTTGATCCGGTTGTTCCCCTCCCCTCCGCGGCCTTTTCTGCGCTCTTGCGCGGTCTTGGTGTA